CAAGATCACATGGAAACATATTACCAATACAAGGAGCTGAATGTGTGTTTGCTAAGGGATGCTTTGGGGCTTTGCCAGGGGGATTGTCCTTATCCTTCTTCTCCTAACTCACCTATTACCTCCTTTAGCAAAATGTCAGTAGTTTGTTTCTTTTAACAGACAAACACATTACTGGGGGCCTGGGGGCATTGATATACTCTAAAGGCACTGAGCAGCTTCACCTGGAGCCTCCACCCATATCCCTACCCATGGTCCTAGGAGCCATTTAAACTCAGCCCAGGGCTATAAATCCTAGTCTCTCTGTTGTGGGATTGCTAATCTTTAGCTCTCCTAGAGGTATGACTGTTCCTGCTTTGTAGTTCCTGCTTGTATACTTGAGACCTTAATCTGTAGCAGCCTGGGGTGAGTCACTGCTCAGTGCTGCCTCCCTATAAAGGCAGAAGGAGCCTAACTGGAGGGAGCAGGGGGCTTGGGAATGTGGCACTGGGTTTTCCTCCTCTTGTTGCCATAAAGGTGAATGCTATTTGCACAAGAGATGTAAAATGCTCCTGATTTCCTTTTGTATAGGAAGAAGTTGTGATATATCCTTCAACCACAAACGCATTCTGCTGAGATGGGGTTATCACCTTTGTGATTTTGGCCCTGGTTTCTGCTGATCTGATGCAGCTAAAGTTTTACCCTGATTTTATTCAAACTGCAAGCGTGGTGGCCAGCAAAATGCTAAATCAGAGAAAAGTCTGAACGCGTGCCCGTGTGAGCAGACTCTGTGTCTGCAGAGCGGAGATCCCGGGCCGAGGACAGGAGAGGGAGCCGGAGCCCCGCGCAGAGCCTTGGGCCGGGCTTGGTCCCACCCGCGAGTCTCCATCGCCCCCGGCTGCAGCTCTCCCGACTTCGTGCGGGCTGTGTGACTCCGCAGGGATGAAATGAAGGTCTGTGCCAGGACCCGCCTTGGCCATGCGTACGGTTTAACTTCAGTCAATGCTGACAAAAGTGGCATTAAACTGAATATTAAGTCTGAGCTGTCAGTCAAGTTCAGGTGCAAAGTCGTGTCAAACAGGGGCTTTGGGGTATGATCATCAAATTATAAGCTGCATAGCAATAAATGCTGCAGCCAAGAGCTGCTTACCCTGTGTTTAACTGTATGTCTCAAGGAAGTTGAGTGTCAACAAAGCTGTTTTAAAGATTAATTTATCCTACTTGGTCACCTTTTGTTCTAGGTTCCATCTCTTTCAATCAGAGTTTAGTACATCAGTCCAAATTAGTGCCTTAAATACCCTCTCTGCAAAGTAGCTTGTACAACTTGGAAAGGCTACTAGCTTAGAAGGCTAAATTCCTGATCAGAATAAATAATGCTTTTAAATAGGCAAGCTGTAAGGCTAAGTTCTGCCTCCAATGTATAAAGACATTGTGTAACCTGAGTAACTATAACTTCTAAGCTCCAAGAGCTGTGCAGGGTTTGTTCTCCACCTCCAACTGCACTATTAGCAGTGATCGCTGTTACCCAGAAAAGCTGGAATAGAAGGTAACTGGTGCTTCATTTTGGCATGATGTGATTGATAGTCCTCACCCTGTCACTCTTTAAAACAGCAGACTTTGTAAGATTGAGAAACAGAGAGATTTTTCTCCTGACAGATGTGTGACCCTTCTTGGGTTTGCTAACCTTGAGGGAACACAGGACACAGAAGATGAGAGTTCCCAAATCCTTCCTGCTCCTCAGCTGTTCCTCCTAGTGAATCAATGCACTTTTTAAACTCTTACACGTTGAGCTTGTTCTGCCAAATGCTAGAAGGCTGAGGGGCGGTGAGATACAGGTGCTGCTGGTAGTGCTGAGCAGTACCTCCAGCATCGAGCATACAGGGTGAGTGCCCTCTTCAGTCACACTACCCAGATCAATATATTGAACCTGACAGAAGCTGCTTCCTTGGCAGAAGTCTCTTTTTAAGTGTAGACTTCCCCATCTGCAGCTGAAACAATCTCTTGACAGCTGGATGGGCTAATGCCGTGCTTCTGGGTAGCCAGGTCACTTCCAGCATGGCAGAGCACTGTGCAGCCCTTGCTCCCTTCATATGTGGCTTTTGATCTGGCAACTGCTAACTGCTACAATAATACTGCCCCTGACAGGTCTCATTTATTGCTGCTATCAAATACACTAGCAACTTGCTCACATTTCCATGACGGATTTTTTGTACTCAAGCCTATCTCCTCATTAATCTTGTTTAATCACTCTTATTGTCCCTAGGGCAGAGCTGCTCGTGGACAGGTATAACTGGTGATATTGAAGTAGCCTTGGCATATGAATCAAAGGGAATAAGAGACTCTGGCTGTAAAGAAGCTTCTATTCATCCTGATAAAGTTTTAACTTTGGTAACAAATATTTAATGCACTTTTATTCAAAGAAACCTCTCTGTGAAATGAAAACAATAAATAGATGCTGATGGCTTAATAGCTTAAGTGTAGCTTGAGCATTCAATCAATCTGAAAAGCAACTTATTGTGAGTATATTTCAAAATGGTGGAAGTTATTGCTATGATGCATCTAATCATAATGGCAGTGGGAAAAATATATCCTCTCTTAAGAGCTGTGAATCATGGATCAATTTGTTAGATTCCCTGTGGAGTTCAGTCATCTATGACTGTGCTGAATAGCTAAGTAAGGCTAAAGCAAAGAAATGACCGATTTATTTAAAAAGATGCCTTGGACAAGCTTAGGCCTAATGTGGGTGCAGGAAGGGAGAGGACAAGTCCTGGATGCTCTGCTACTAGAAAACAGTTGCTGTTGCCTCCCATTCTCCCTGCAGCCAAATTGCTTGGAAGCAAATGCTCCCCATTGCCATGCACCTTCTGTGGTGCTAACAGGAATTGCCAGCTCTGTCTCCTGAGGAAACAACATGTAGGAAACCAAGTGGACTTCTTGGATCTAATACTCCATTTTGTCTATAGGAAAAAGTTTGAAATGTTAGCAAATCTTCACCTACTTTGGTGGTAGCCTGGATGTGAGTTTCCTGTCATTCATATGACAATTTGCAGATGGACAGTGGAGAAAATCTGTTGGTATCAGGGGTGATAAGAGGGGAGAAATCAGCCTGCAGCTGTTCTTTGCTTGCTCAGCAGCTGCTGCTTGACTAGTAAGCAGGGTTACCAGCCTCCTGTGTTCCAGCAGCCTTGCACAGACCCTTGGGAAAGCCAAACATGGTGCTTGGAGCTGGCAGCGCTGCCCTGGGAGGGAAAGGGACAGTGGAGAACAGCTGAGAGCCCCTTGCAGGAGGTGAGGACACTAGGGTATTACTGGGATACTTGGCAGGAATATCTCATTGGGAGCCAAGCTGCACTAGTCCAGCAGGACTAGTGGAACTGCTCCCTTCCTTTGCTTTCACTACCTGCTGCTGCAATATAGCACTGCCTGCTACCTGCGAACCCCTGGAAGCTTATCTGCATCTACAAACATAACTCTTCTTCACATAGAGGTTAAAATGATAAGTCGAAATAAGTGTTAACAGATGCACTTTCTTATTGCCTCTTAAGTGTGATTTACTTAAGTGCAGAGCTCCTTAACCCAGGTTTGTAGATCTGACCTTCACAGTTGCCTCTAATACATTTGAAAGTGGTTCATTTGAACTGTGCTATGTCTAATCACATCATAGTTGTTTTGTTAATTGTTTTGTAACTATCCAAATCTATTTGCTGTGTCTCCTTTCAATTGCTTCCAGGGGCTACTATTATCAGGATGATCAACCCAGTTGCTGGCAGGAAAGCTATCTGTTCACAGGAACTGGAAATACATAATATTTTCAGTAAAACTGACTGTAAGAACAACGACAGGGCCAGCCTGGGAGCTCACCTGGCCCAGCAGCAGAGGATATCTGAGGAGAGTAAGACACAGAGCAAAAGTGCAGCACTGCTTGGTCAGAACTATCTTTCATAGCTCCAAATCTATTTTCTGAGTCAGAAGGGTCAGATACCACATGCCTCTAAAGTTGGAGGTATTCACCCAGGTACTTAATTTTACGTTTATTTTTATTGGCCGTTTTGTTATTCAGCTGCTTGGTACTGTGAGATCCTTACCTGAATTCTCCTTGTCTGCCCTGGGCTTTACTATCCTGGCTAATGCAGCATTATCAAACATTTTTGGAGCTTCTGTATTCATGAAAAGTGAAGCAAAGCTCAAAGGAAAGAAAATGAAGCTGTGAATACCTGGAATATCTAGGGCAATTCACACCTGTCTGAGCAAATCATATAGTCCTGGGAATCTCTTTTCGACCTGTATTATTTGGACCACATTGCTGGAAGAAGTAATCAAACATTTGTATTTCTAGTGATGGTCTATATATCAGTGTCATTGGTTGTTTCTGATGTACAAAAGTGTTGCAGCCCAGCAGAGAACATTTTGTCCGCTCAGCCCAAGGGCAAAGCACTTCAGGTGCAGCTGTAAGTGCTATTTAGTTTTTAAATAAGTTCTTACGGTGCTCTGCATGCATGTGCTTTTGTCTATTGATTAAATAGGAAAGATTCTGGTTTTTTAAAACCACTTACATGGGTTTTTTTCTCTTAGGGTTAATGACCTTTCCCAAATCTTCGCTCGCGAAGACTGGCCATTACATTACATGGGTTTTTTTCAGTGGCTGGAGGATTACAGATTTTTCTCTGTGTGTGTGTGTGTGCAATAGCAGTCTAATATAGCTATTGGGAAAACAAAGGCATCCATAAGCTTGCTTTTATGTATTCCTTTATCTTTGCTTCTAGTTAATCAACAAGGAAGGCTGAATTGCTCCACAGGGGTTGGCTTTGGGTAAAACAGCCCATTAGCAAGGTCCCACCTGAAGGCAGGCTAGCAGGGCTGGCAGCTCCAGGAGTCTTCCCCATTGTTATGATCTGCTTAAATATTGCAGAAAGAGTTTTTAGATTCGAATATTCCCTTGAGCAAAATTAAAACTCATACAAGTTATCTGTTGATACCAAAACTGTTTTTTATTAATTGCTAAGAGATGCAAAGAGAAAGAGGAAAAAATAAGAAAAGGCTGGAAAATGCTAAGATTACTTTTAGAAGCAGAGAAAAGACACCATCAAAACTAACTTTTCATCTGAGCTGGTCTGTAGGGTGGGGGGGGGAGAGAGAGAGAAGCAGTTTTTTGCCTTTTTTTTTCTCTGGTCTCTGCCGCTTTCGATGTTATCTCTTTAGCTGCAGGGGGTCTTAGTTCTCTGGAATGCAGCCAGGCTGTGGGCCTCGCCGCCGCTCACACCGGGCTGTGTCCCAGGCTGTGTGGAGGTCTCGACCTGCACCTCTTGGCCCTCAGAAATACGGTCAGGGTGGAGAAACTCACGTGGGTGGCACGGTGAGTCTCAGTCCACTTCAAGGCGGCAGAAGTCCAGTCTCTGGTGATGGCAGGCAGCTTACGGTGGCAGAAGAAAAGGTGAGGGCGAGGCGGAGGAGATCCTTAGCTGCTATAGCCAATTCTCTCTCCCACTCCTCTTTCCCTGCTTTTCCCAAACTTTTCCTCATCTTTTACAGTGTTCCGAGGAGGTTGTGTGTGGTTTCTTGGCACGTAGCCCTATTCATATGTTCGCAGAGATATGATAATCATGAACAATACCAGGATCTTTTGGCAGGAAAACTCCAGTAGGAAAATTCTGGTGAGGACTTCTGATGGAAAACTGACACAGAATTTTTGGTAGGAAGTTTTTGACAGGCAGAAACAATGGCAAAACATAATTTTTGGCATTTGTATGTTATCTGTCTGTTACACACCCCGTGGTTCTTCGTGGTTCGACATTGTTTCTCGGCACATCAAGGTAGTTTTCTTCAATGGTGGTAATGTGAATATAGCGAATATAGCGAAGGGGGAGAAATAAACAAGCAAGTGGTCTATCATGCATTTAACTAGGTCAATGCCAGTAATTAGGAACAAAATTCCAATGACAATTGCTATTCCAATTTGTGCTATCCATTTTCCCCATCCAGTGAGTCCAAAAGACTCTAGGATGTTGGTAACCCATGTTCCATCTAACACTTCTGGTGGTTGCATTGCATAAAACAAATTTCTAGTGTGGTTACTTATTTCTTTCATTGTTGTTCATGCCTTCTCAATGGAGGTTGAAGCATTATAAATTGTTACACAGCATTCGGTTTCTGATAAATTTAACATTCCACAAACACCTTGTTCTTTTAACAGTAACATATCTAATGCTAATCTGTTTTGCAATGTCATCTTAGTAGTTTGCTGGACTTGAGTGTTTGATTCCCCAAATGCATGTTGTGTCCAATTGCTTAAAACACTTAATTGCCAGGTAATATCTTCTAATACAAATTGGTGTCTTTTTAAGGTGACATAGGGGGTAAAGAAATTCTCAAGAAAAAGGGATGCTTTTTGCCAGGTGGTGTAATAATCTGGAAAATCAACTCCTTTAACTGCCCATTCTGGCCTTTGTGTTGATTTTGGAGAGGGAATAACACTGCGATGATGATGTTCTTTAGACCCTTTAGTAAAAGTAAAGACATGTCTGGGGCAAAGAGAGGGAATTCCAGGACTACACCTAAGTCCAGCATGCTGCTCTAATGACAAATGCGAATAAAACTTTCCATCAGAGCATCCCTAAGCCATTCCCAGAGGGGCTATATATTTTGCAGTTTTACAGTCAGTATTGTCTGCATGGTCAAGGATGGTGATTTTTGGTTTAGTATTTATTGGAGTACCGTGGATTGGGTAGTGGGTATAGGGAACTCCACAGGGATTAAGAAGATATTTGTAGGTCGAGTTACAGGATTCATCCTGATTTCTCCAGCCTTTAGAAGGGTATCTCCAACAAGTACACATATCTCTTATCAAAGTTCTAGTTCTGAGTGAAAACCATGTTTCTGGAGGATCTCCTGGTCCTTCTTTGCATGTTATAACCTTTGAGCAATTGAATAAGGGACTTTCTTCTACCTGAGGCACGGTAAATTTGGGTTCTGTAAATTTGAATTCAAAAAATGCTTGTACAGACCATGCCCACATTAAGTTTTTCTTGTTAATTGGAGTTATATTTGTTACGTTAGGAAGTTGTACACACCAGGAAGGACTAAAAACTGTGGCATGTTTTACTTTTGTATACATCTGGTGAGTATAATGGGTCAAAGAGTGGATTACGTGTCTAAATAAGGCAGGGTTGTCTAGCATTATATTTCTCAAAGGTTATTATTCCAGGTTTAAATTCACCTTTACTTGATGTAATAGACGGGTGAGGGGATTCAGTTGGAGATAAGATGGTTATATTTACCTTATTGTTTTACAATATTTGGTGCGTGACATCCAGTCTTGAGTCATATTAGGAGATGGGGTGTAAGTTTGGTAAAGGCCATGTACTATAGGAATATCTTTCCAGAGTATTTGGGCTCCGTTGGTCTTGTTGGTCCACTTTTCGGGTGTGGGGCAATGGGGCTGTCACGCTAGCCATGTTAAAAACAAAGGATAAATTCAAAGGTATCATAAAAAATCACAATCCTTGTTCAGCAGACTCTGGTAAAGTTACACATAGACCCTGATCGGTATGATTCCATATTTTTGCAAACCCTTTGTCTAGTTCCCAGGCAAGGTTCCTTTGATTTTCACTTTTAACAGTCTGTTCTGCTAAGCACACGTACAAGGTAAGTAACCATACAAACATAACTAACAAATTATAACTACAGTTACCAGTAAACTGAACCATAGTCCAAATCTGAGATTATTCATTCACAGTTCTGAATACTTTTCTCCGTTGGGCAGTTACCTGTAAAAGAAAAGAAAAAGATCTTTCTGGCCCCTTTTAGGGCCCAATATTAAAATGTAGGAACAATCCACCGAGAGCTTATTTTGTGTTCTTTGCCATAACCATCTTTTGCTTTCCAGGTGTATATGTTCAAGGGAGTGGTGAGTACCATTGGTACAGCTCCTACAGTAGGTAGTTCCACTAATACAGGTTGTCCAGGAAGGTGAGAAGGTTTCTGATTACTCTCATGTTTTGATGTTGCTGGTATCAGAGAGGGAGGCTGTGGATAAAAAGCTCTGAGTCTGGGACAGCCATTTACTCCCCATCTGTCATTCACCATTTTTACAGCATCCCATAGTCGGTTAGTCCAGTTGGATTTCTGAGGTTTTAGAAATCATTTAAGCAGGCCATTTGTTCTTTCCACTATGCCATTTGCTTGTGGATAATATGGTGTGTGAAATATCCACTGGATTCCTTCTTCCTTGGCCCACTCCTGGACGATGGCAGCTGTGAAGTGTGACCCGTTATCTGATTGGATAGATACAGAAGGGGAGCCACTCAGTACACCCTTTGAACACAGCAAAAGAATCAGTGTAGACATATACAGAGTCAGAGGTTTCAGCTTCATGATTAAATACACTCCAAACTGCTACTAATTCTCCTACCTGTGCACTGTCTTCTCCTTCAGTTATTATTTTGTCTCCTGTATGTACCTGTAAAGCTACAGCATGATATTTCCAAACTTTACCTTCCCATTTAGCTGAGGCATCAGTAAACCACACATTCTGCAATTGTTCTGAGTATGGGGGTGCTGCTTCAATCTCAGAAGGTGGAGAATCAACTGTGCTATTTAAAGTTACCTCATCTTGTCAGGGAAGATTTTTGCGAGCTCCCTCTGTTACCTGAAAAATGGTGCAATAATGTTCAATTTGAGCATACCATTTCCGAACAGTAGCTCGCTGGGCCACCTTGTCAGGGGGTGGGGTTCCTGTCAAAACAGGCTTGATGACCTTGAAGGGTCCCCTTAAAATTAGAGGTTGCTGACGGACAATTTTTTCTGTTTCAGGAAAAACAATACTCACCACAAATAAGCCTTTTTTTCCAGATAGAATATCGTTTTTCAGCATCTTTGAAACTGCGTGAATAAAACCCTATAGGCCTGGTGGGACCATCAGGTCCTTTCTGCCATAAGTGTATGGACAGTCCAGAACTTGCAAATCCCTACTCAATTTGTACTGGATCAGTAGGGTGTATGGGGCCTAATGAGTGGTATGTGTTGGCCTCAAAAATCAGGAGTTGTAGGGCTTCATCGTGAAGGGGGGTCCAATCCCACTTTGCCTTTTTTCGCAATAAATCATGTAAGGGTCGTGCAATTATTGAAAAATCAGGGATGTGTTTTCTCCAAAAAATCAGCAGGCCTAAAGCATGCTGCAAATCTTTTTTATTCTCTGGTGTTTTAAGTTGGTCTAGGCAGGTAAGTGTGTCTGGGGGAATACAAACCATTCCTCCCTTCCACCAAATTCCCAGGAATTTTACTTCTTGTGAAGGAGGTTGAACCTTTTCAGGAGGGATATTCCTTTTCCTTTTAAATCTCCAATAACTGGAGCGATTCCTTCCCTTGCTCACAAGGGTAAGGGGTAAGGTTTGACACTGGTTACTAGGGAGGGAGGAAGAGCAGGGGCAGGACTTAGTAAACACAGATGTGGGATTTCTTTTCCAAAAGCCCATATGTTTCCTTCCTCATCAGTCCAAGACCTTGCCTTCAGGAGGTCTAGTCCCAGTAAACTGGTAGGAAGTTTACCCAAAATCATTAGGGTTTCAACTGCTTTCTCCTCCCTTGGTAACCAGCATCTTACCTTTGCTGTTATCTGGGGTTGTATGTTCCCGAAAGCATCCGCAACAAATATGCCTTTACGTGAGGGAGTGATTCCACATACAGATACATCTTTAATTTTCAGGGCAGATACCTGAGCACCAGTGTCTATCAAAAAAGTTACGGGAGTTCTGCGGGGACCAATAGGAAAGGTTATTAACAAATCTCCTTTGGAATTTTTGGTAAGCCGTCTAATGTAAAACCAGCCTTCATCCCCCAGCTTACCTACTGAGGAAACAGAGAGGAGTTTCCCGTCACCTCCCCTTGCTGTGACCCCTCCAGGGCAGGGGCTGTAGCAGGGACAGCTTTCAGGGGTTCCTCCTTTACTGGCCATTCTTGAATTAATATCTCTAATTTATCTGTGGGTTGGCCATCCATTAGGGATTTTGGGATTCCCTTTTGCAAGCCCGCAATCCACAGGGTATTCCTTTTTTCCCTGTATCCCCCAGTGTTAGTGGGTCCTCCTTGTCCAGAGATGAACGTTACCTTTCTGAGTCTTGCTGGAGTACTTCTGCATTCTGTGCGCCGAATTGATTTAGTATCAGTAGTAACTGAGGGTACTGGACCATATTTTCTTCCATAATTAATTAATTCCTGTGCCACTTATCCCCAGGTCCACATCTTATTTTCTCCACGGTAACAACTGGGGGTTAAAGCTGCTTTTAAAGTGGCTGCAGTTCTTTCCCCTTTGGTGAGGCTTTCTACTTGTCCTTTTAGCTGAATGCCAAAGGGCTTCATAGCCTCAGGGAGTCCCCTGATAAGGGGAATCCTTCTTTCAGGGTCTACAGGCAGCATCATAAGGGATTCACATCTTGGTGTTAATTCCCTATCATACATCATTTGTAAACAAGCAGCCTTTTGAACACTTTCTACAATCTGATTAACATTTCCCACTATAGCCGGAGGATCTCCCCTTTCTAAGGGGTTGAGTCCTCCAGCCCAATAGGCTGCTCTTTGGGTAAGGAACCAAGGTGCAGGGTTATCTCCTGTGGTCAGGAAAACTCCGGCTCCCCAAAACCCTTCAGCCTCTTTTTCTGATAACAAAATTTGATCACCTCCAGTAAGAGAGACTCTCCAAACACACTCAGTCTCAGATTCTTTAGGAGTTCTGCTATATTCCTTTTTTAATTTAGCTAATTCAGTTGCTGTATAAGGGACTTCTTTTGTAGTTATTTGAGGTGTATCATCATCCGAGCCCTCATATGTGTATTCTGTTTTAATTAGGGGACGGAGAGACACCGACAGCTTTTCCACTTGATCACGCAAAGGTTTTAAGTCAGAGAGAGGGTATATTTCTTTAGATGACTCCAGTTCTGACTCCCTTTTTCCTTCTCTCATTAATCTTGCATACAGCTCCTCTCAAAGTGCACGGGCTGTAGCCCTTTCATTCCTTATCTCTTCCTGGAGGACAGTGGCAGTAGCCGCTTGTTCCTCCAACGCCATCTGCAAAGACTTAACCAATTCTTGCAGTGAGTTAACCACTTTCATGTGAGCTTTTTGCTGCTGTTCTTTGTTGTTAATTGCAGTTATTACAACTGCACCTAACACTGAACAAATGATAGGTTTTCCTTTACCTTTTCTCACCCCTGCCTGCAGGGTAGAGATTCAATCAACAATTGCTTGAATATTACACCAATTATCCTGTGCCCATTCCATTCCCAGAAGAGATGGCCTGGCACCAAATTCATCTAACAGATTAGTAAGAGCTTGCACATTATGTTCCATGTCACCACAAATTCAGAGTGATCTTCTCTAGAGAGCCCCTCTTAAAAGTTACAGCAAATTTCCCAAAGTCTCGCTCCTTCCTCTGGAGAGTTACCTCTTAAAAAGTTACCTTACAAATTTGGAGCGATCTTCTCCAGAGAGCCCCTCTTAAAAGTTACGTTACAGCAAAACCGGGGTGAGCTTATCTGGGGGGCCCCTCGTAAAAGTTAATTTCCAAAATTTCACCCCTTTCTCCCCAGAAAGCACTAAGTTACAATGTGCACATTAACTTCAAAAACAAAACGAAAAAACCTGAAAAATAACTTGTAAAGTCAAAAGTCCTTAAGTCACACAGTCATAAAGTCAAAAAAAAGAAAGGAAGGAAGGTACCTTACTCTGATTGTCTTATCACAGAATGATCGATCATAAAAATTAGCAATTATCATGTTTTGGAATAAACAGTTTTCCTTCAAGGGAGATCCTGTCTGTGACACCAATACCCATCGAGTCACACAAACAACTGTGCTGCCCAAACTGCATTCCCTTATTCCCAAGGGAATGTCCTCTGTGCTCTGATTGATTTATGTCCCTGACACAGCTCTGTGTAGTATTTTCTGGCTTTGAGAGCCATCTACAAAAAGTACAGATTGATCATGGATCCTCCTGGGATGGGTGGGTAGGATAAACCATCAACCCCTTCTCTCATGTAGCAAAGCTTTTATGAATCAATGCCCTTATCTAAAAAACTCCATGCAAACATTAGAGTCTGGCACCTGAAGAACTTGCTGCCAGCAAAAATAAGTGCTTTGAAAAAAAAGTAGAACAGTGAACTTCTTTCCAAAATGAATAGAAATTAAAACACTGGACTCTCTCAGCACTCTTAAGTGCTGTAGTATCTACTGCAGATAGAAGAGATTGTATCCCCCGATGCAACTGTTCTCATTGCTAATTCTCATCCCTCTTTTTATAATTTCCTAGACCTACTTTAGCATGAAAACACTGGGAATTTATTTTCATCTCCAATATGTGCACTAGCAAGTGGAAAACTTGGATTTGAATTAAATTGTGTGTAATTGTTAAAAGACTGTCACACAATGTCAGATGGGTGAGTCTCCTAGTTCTGGAATGGGCAACTCCAAGCTTCAAAAGACAGAATAAGAAGGTGTAAAGGAGATAGGTGTAAAGGTGCATGTCAGCATGAACCTCAATAGCTACGTGAATCCTCCCATGATAATCCAGTGCTGTAGCAAATCATGTTGTGACCAGAGTGACCCTGAATCTGATAACTTCTGGGACTTTTTTATTCTCCTACAGCACCATTAATATCTTGAGGGTAGAGCTGCAGGATGTGGCTGCAGCAGAAACGTCATTATTCTCCTTTGTCATCATCCAGAATATGTTATCTCACCTCCCACTTGGAACTCCTCCTGCTTATCAACTGCCAAAACCAAAAGCTACTGATAGATATGTACAGAAGGAGCTTCATGGTAATTATTCAGTTACAGCTGATGACTGTTTTCTGTGTATATTAGTACACCTCAGTTCTTCTGATTGTTTATTGGAAGAGGATATACGGACTAGGCAGCGAAAGGGAAAGTTTGGCTCTGCAGGCAGTGCTGGTGGGTGAACTTGGGTACATCTGCACCACAGGACTCCACTAAGCAAGGGAAGTGCCACAATCCAGGGGAGTGGGGCAAAGGTGCCAGCAGAACTTGGCTGATGTAGGGACCCTTCCTACAGGCTTAGGAAATATTCACCAAGAGGATTAAAGCCTTTCAAAGATGGAATAGATTCTGCCTTCATAATATTTTTCTTTTCAGCCTCCACAAGAGTTGGCACAGCCTAGTGTGCTACAAAGCACCCTTTTTTCCCTTGCTCAGAACATCCTGAATTAATTCTTGGCAGAACTACCTAACTCTGTGCATAGACAGGAACAAACTCCAGCAAAGCTGGGGCCTCCTGCAAGGCCATTCACCTGGATCTCTCCCCTCCGGGACTTTGTGAGTATGGAGACTTTCTCTGTACTCCTGTGGCACATGGGTGGATGTGGTAGAGCAAGAGCACCAACATCAACACACACACAGAGTTAGGAAATGCAGGTGTCTAGAACTGAGACAGAATGATTTTGTAGATCATAAAGGCAACTGAAAATGCCTAGTGAGAGGGCACAGCTCAGATCAGCAACTGTAAGATCAGATCTTGCAGCAGGAACGTGCACATTGAGCTCTGCACTGGTGTTTCAGTAGCTCCACTCAGCAGAGGAGCCCTCTGGAAATAGCTGCCTGGTTTGGCAAGATGAGCTCAACAGCCACGTCTTCGAGGAGCACAGAAATCCCCACATTTCCCATGCATCACAGGACACACTCTGCTACACCTTAGGCCCTTGACCCCACCCACTGCCATCAGGAGTTTTGTGATAAAAGAAAATCAATCAAGATGTCCATGTCAGCTGAGTGTTCTCCAAACTCTGTCTCCCCTCCAGGCTTCTGAAAGCACGGGATCCATTCAGCAACCTGCAGAGGCTGGAGCCCAAAGCACTACTTGGTGTTGGCAGAGGAATCTTTCCAGGAATTCAGTTTAATGTGAAAATGCATTTCAATGCACCTTAATGACCCTCTGAAAGCACCTGCACCACCAGCATGACTGAGGTCACTGGGGACCTCCTGCTTTACTTAGCATAACCCAATGGATTTTTAGTGGGCACTTGGTGCCTGTGTACACTTTAAGGTGCAGGTTTTAAGGGTTCCCATCATCATGGCTAGGCTTCGCGAACAAAGATTTGGGAAGGCTCTATCCACATTTGCTACAGGCATGCTGGTGGCTTATGAGGCCAATACGTGACAGACATATCCGATTGCAAAAGGCACAACAGAAAGATTCCTTAGATGGTGTATTCTGCAATACACGGTTCTTTCTGCGTTGCCTTTTTTCCTGGAGAGTGATCCTGCGTGTGTTCTCGAAGGAGACAGCTGCGTTATAGATGGCATGTCTCCAGGCCTCCCGATTTGAGGCCAGAGTAGACCAGTTATGGTGATCAATATGGTCACCATTGGCCAATCAGAGCTGAAATCAGTCCAACAGTTTAAGTGTTCCAAGTAAGAACATAAAGCAGTGTCAAGCATTTGTGGGGTTTGTGACTCAGCTGGAGAGGGAATTCCATATCCTTTTAGTAATTTGCTCAAATAAGGTTTTTGAAAATCTATTTTTATAGAGAAAGAAAATCCAGAGGGCAGCAATGGTAGCAATCAGTGAATTTGCCTCTGGATTTTCTCCGTCTGCCTTCAAAAAGCAAAAGTGTTATTGCCAAAGTTGATTCTGATTTCCTTGCAGAAACTGTCCACTGTCTCTTCCATGGACAATGCTGAAATATAATGCAAATGTGAGCAGTTAAAATACCTAAAGGCAACAAAACCAGATTGGTGCAGAAAATCAGTGACGTTTTCCCCCTACCCTTCCTTACTGAGCACTGCTACTTTACAGCAGTAGAAATCCTTTTGGAGTTTCCTAGCTGACACAGAGCTCCATATCTTTACTACTGCAAGAAGAAGAAAAGAAGAGAAAGGTAATTTCTAAAGTGAAAGTAAATTAGCCACAAAATAAAACATTTCTAAAGACACTTAATTTCATGTCAGTTCAGAGGAGCCTTTTGGATTTATGCCATCTTAAGGCAAAATATTAGTACATGCTTCAGGATTGCCGGTCTTTTAATACTCTGTGTTGCGGTTCAGAAGCTGTAAGGAAATGTAATTGGATCTTGTTATGCCTGAATTGATAATTAGACTTTATTTTGGAATGTATTCTTCTATTAAAAGAAGAAATAATAGACTTTGCATGATTATTAATGTATTGTAATAATCCTCAATTATACAGATTACTTTTCAGAAACACGAGCATTATCTTGCAGAAATGATGACATTTACTGGCTTATTTTTCTTCTGCATGCTGATGAACATGCTAACAGGTAAGATTACTGCTGAATTTATCCTTGTTTATGTTTTCAAGTAGCCAGAAATATTTTGTTATGAATACCATATCCTCTATTTAGTATCACTTGTGTATTAATCATAACTATTCTGGCTGTTACTTATAAGTATTTGGTTTGTAGCACTGAGTGACTGCAAATGGGGAATTTCTTATTCTACTGTTCAAGAAACAAAAATCCTTTGGCTAAGCAGAGGCTCCTGCATGGACATTAACCCTAAACCCTGTCATCTTCTGGCTACACGGGAAACCTTTTATTAACAGAAAGTCTTTCTGTGCACGAGCTGGTACTAATGCGTTTCCTCTTTATTCACAGATGCCCGATCCATCCAGGATGGAGATGGTAATTCCTATTGTATTTTTATTTGCTTTGTATCACTAATAATTAGGAGAGTAATTTGTAACTCCCAGACCTGATGCCTAGCAGTGACTTTGGCAGGAACGCTCACTAACCTCAATGGGCTGTGGAAGCGCTTTCATCTAGTTCTGGTGGAGAAAGAAGAGTGAACTTGTAGAAATGTCTTTAAAAGCTGAAATATTAGTGTCTAATAATAGAGCTAATATACTAAAAGTCTTAAAATGAAAAGGGACTATAGTCAAGTCACTAATTCTGTTGTACAAAATCATAACTGGAAAGCACCAGACTTGTAAGTGTATCAGACATCTGAGGATTTTGTCTGTCCTGAACAGTAATACTATATGTGCATCTGGTTATTGGCAAGAGATACTGGCCTCCACAACATAAAGCTTAAAATTTACAAATTGCCACAAATCCAATTACAGAAATGTTGGACTAAATCCCTTAGCAAAGCTACCCTGTGGTTCATGTTGCTTCATGTGATTAGTCCATTGGATTAGTGTTTGCCTTTGATTAAATAAAAAACCCTCAACACCCTAATGATGTTTACACTGGCTTGCTGATGATTCTATCAGTTAACCTCTCTTTGGCTTTTCAGACAGAATTCTGTCTGGAAACAAAATTGCAAAGAAGTATCTACAGTAATCAGGTACTGCTATTGCTGGTGTACATCTAAGTTAACCAGCAGGACAGCCAGCAGCATGTCCAGTGCACAGATACAAATATGCAGAGTATCATAACAGATATGAACTGTAGAAATACAGAATAAGGTCTAATATTAAGTTATAATTCAAACCTGTCCCCCTATGCCCCAATCTATTTCTTCATAGCTCTAAAATATTTTGAACGTATCACCTGCGTTTGTGCACGGCAAATACTTCTGCAGCAACCTTCTGAGACGATCAGAGGAGTGTGTGTCAATGTGAAAATACAATCCTCTTCAGGCAGTGTTCTGTTGCTCTCATTACCAGCAATTATGGCTTTCTTTCACACTAGCCCAAGCAGCAGCCTGCAAAGTGAATCTAAGGTTAGCTGGTATTAACAGTGAGTTCTCCTCTGCAGATAGCATTTCACTGGTTCATTTGTTTGGTTATGTGCCATCTGGGCCTGTGCACTGCAAACTTTACTCCATAAAATTAAGCTCTGACAACAGGATTGTTGAAGGCTCTTAATTCCTACTAAAGACCCTGGTCCCAAGCTGAGTGGAATGGCTCTCATTCATCTAAATAGGCTTTAAATCAAAACAAAATACTAGATTTAGCTTTGCTGCCCAGAAAGACATTTGTAACTATGTGGTCTCAGCTAGTGTTTATATGTTATATACGCTTCTGTGTTTGCCCAGATTTGGGCTCAAGGGTGGTCAGCTTCTGCATTTTCAGAACTGACTTTGTTTTCCTGCTGAATTTGAAACTGTTTCAATGAGTATACCACTTTTTCTGATATTCCTAGAGCAGGCACAAATACAACAGCTGTCTTCCAGGCGGCAAAACCTTTCCTTTCCCTTCCCTTAGCCTGTTTCCTACAGCCCTCTGAGAAGAGGACAACTGCAGTCCCAGGCAATGTCAGGGAAGTATGGCCTCAGTCCTGGGGAGCTCTGTGGGCAGAGCGGGCAGCTGCAGGGTCAGAGTATAGATGATGGTGCCTTATTCCTTATATTTTTATATTGGGCAAAGCAAATTGTGTGGAATGAGAAAAAATGGCTTTCAATTGCAACCACTCTTTGCCTTTAAATAATCAGCAGCCTTCTAGCAATTAAATCAGCCTGATGAATTCTTGAATTGCCCTAGATGTGGATGGTGTGCCTTCATTCCTCCTCTCTATCTTGTCCCACTCTGTCACACTAGTGCATCAGGAGCAGGGAATACTGGCTTCATCTTCTACAGAGTGAGGGATGGAGAGGGGTCAAAGGCTCTCCCTGCCTCTCTCCTGCCAGAGGAGCCCATAAGCCCCATTAGGGAACCCAGAACCCCAAACCATATTGGCTCCCAGGACCAAGCTTTCAACAAAAATGCTTTGTATTACAGTAATCTGCAACATTTTATTTTGGTTGTTTTTTTTAAGATCTGTACCAGGAAGCTATAGCCTTGCCATACTGGCCTTTCTCATCCAACGATTTCTGGTCCTACGTGGAATATTTCCGGACCTTGGGAGCCTACAACAGGATCAATGAAATGGCCAGAGCTTTTTTTGCCCAGTTTCCTTTTGGGAGCTACCTTGGCTACCACGTGCCTGACCACGAGCGCTAAGTGCTTGCTAGAGCCAGTGCTGAGGTGTTTGGGTGAATACCTGTCTGACAGCAAACATACCTAGGCTGCCCTCAGCCACCTCGTGATACTCACTGCAGTCACACACGGCATTTCATGCTTCAAATTAGTTTCCTTTTTACAATTTATGAGTGCCAAAGTGTTAGAGCGAATACCTGCCAGTGAACGCACCTGGGCGGCCCTCAGCCACTTTGTGATACCACAGCCATGCACAGAATTTCATGCTTTAAATTAGTTTCTTTTGTACAACTTAGAGGTGCCAATAAATGCAGCTGGGCTGGCCTCAGCCACTTAGTGATACTCACTGCAGTTGCACGCAGCATTTCATGCTTTGAATTTTTTACAATTTATCCTTTCGCGTGAAAACAATAAACTCCTCCATTCTGCTGCACAGTTTTGGGAGCTTTTTTTACCCATGATGCTCACAGCGTTGACTCAGGAAACCACTCTCTGAGAGTACAGGAGTCGTGTATGTACAGGAATTATCTGACCAGTCCGCCCATTCTGGGGGCTGCAAGGACCACCAGTTTAAACCACAGCTGCACCCTCTGCAGGGCAGTGCCTCACCTCAAGCCTTGGCCCGCCACAGGGGGAGGGCGGGGTGAGCAGAATGGCGGCCGCCATTTCCCTCCTCGCCATGGCAACGGCGGCGCCCCCGCCCACAGGGCGGCCATGAGAGGCGGTTCCTCCTTGCCCGCGGAAGTGACGGGGCAGAGGGGCCGCCATGAAGCCGGCGGTGGACGAGATGTTTCCCGAGGGAGCCGGGCCGTACGTGGATCTGGACGAGGTGAGGGGTGAGCAGGGGGAGCCGTCGCCGTGCCGCCGTGGCGCGGGGGCGCTCAGCGGCTGCTTTCCCAGGCAGGGGGAAGCACGGGGCTGCTGATGGACCTGGCCGCCAACGAGAAAGCTGTGCACGCCGACTTCTTCAATGGTAAGGACCGCCGCCGGCTGGGCGGGGGGGTTGAGAAGTGTCGCAGCAAACCTCGCTTCTCGCTGATCTCATATCTTCGGCGCCTGGTGGCCGCTAAACTCACTAACTACATCTCTGGTGAGCGGTGTAAGAGCGCTTCAGTGTTAAATAATGCAGGCGGGAGCGGTAAAATGCGTGGTTTTCCTCTCGTGGAAGTTTTGGTATTGATCACCTCAAGGAAAAGTACCTTTATCTGTTTGCATAACAAGTAACTTATATTAAACTGTGCAAATAGATACAAAAACGTGGAATGGACTTCAAAAAATTGTGTCTGGGCATTACATAGGTAGTTCATTAATCTCTTAAAGTATGTGTGCATATGTGTCCGAAGGAAAATAAACCACTGTTTTTAATGCAGTTTCTGCATTTGAAAGTGAGCTGTATGCATATAGAATCATAAGATGGTTTGGGTTGGAAAGAACCTTAAAGATCATCAAGTTCCATCCCCCCTTCTGCTATCCCAGCTTGCTCAGAGCTCCGTCCAACCTTGCCTTGAACGCCTCCGGGGATGGGGCAGCCAGAGCTTCTCTGGGCAACCTATGCCAGGGCCTCACCACCCTCACAGTGGAGAATTTTCCCCTAATATCCAATCTGAACCTACTCTCTGTCAGTTTGAAGCCATTCCCCCTTGTCCTGTCATTCCAAGCCCTTGTAAATAGTCTCTCTGCTTCTTTGCCATAAGCTCCCTTCAGGTACTGGGAGGGTCCAATTAGGTCACCCCAAAGCCTTCTCTTCAGGCTGAACAATTCCAATTCTCTCAGCCTAGATATAAGTATAGACAGCTGCTTTGAGAGGAAAGAGCTACATATCAGGCCACTTAGTGGTAGAATATAGAACACTGCACTTGATTACTAAGGGGTTTTCTATGCTTCTTCTCAAGAAGTATGTTTAGACATTCCAACAGAGAGTTTCAGATACATTATTAAATCTGGTTGCTGTAGTGGTGTTAATATCACAAACTGGTATTAATTCCAAAATAAAGTAGGTTTCCCATGGTTCTTAACATTTAGAATGCAGGAGAAAAAGGAATTTTCAGTTATACTCTCAGGAGTGGTGAAGGAGCTAGCTCTGTGTTGGAGCCAGCATATTCCGGAGCAGGTATTTCCGTAAAGTTCTACCATCATGGTATTATATTCCATTGGTATTTTAGGACTCTTCTAAATGAGGATTAATCCTCAGTTTATTGTATGGCACGTAGACTGCCTTCTGTAAGACTAAGGGCTTGTATTCAGTTATGTTGTTAGTTTATGATCAATATACAAAGAAGATACAAAGCTGAGTTGTTAAAAGTACTTTCCAAAGATGAAATGTAGCCAGCCACATTTCACTAGTCTGAAATGAGTTCAGAGAGAGAAATGTTATTAGCACCTTCAGAGCGATGAAATGTTTTTAAGGAAGGGACTTTTAACAGCAAATCCCACTTGAGAATGTCAGTCTGCAGCATTTAGAGGTGTGCCTGGATGCTGTGACCTAAAGCCACGATTCTGCAGGAGTGTTTACATCTGAGACTTGCTGCATGCATAAAGCTAGCACTTGCTTTGTTCTGGGCTCAGGGAATCTTGCTTGATCCTCTCTGTGATGGCTACTTAATGCCGTTATAAAAGCCCCTTCTTTTAAGCTTAGCTTTCATGAGTTTGATTGCACAGCTTGTATTGTACAAGTGGGGCAGTTTAACTGTGCGTGACAGAGAACATGTCCGTGGGTTTGCCTACCTTTGCTGTCTCTTTCCACCCTGATTACATTTCCAGTAATAGATGGTGCAGTAACTCTCATTCACTTAATTCATCTTTATTTCTGTTTTTAATAATGAAGTACTCTACTTGAGTATGTGCATTTCTAACAGTTGAAACTTTTAAGGGTAATTTTACCTTGTCTTATTTTTCTAACTAGATTTTGAAGATCTCTTCGATGATGATGACATCCAGTGAACTTGGTTGTCCAGCTATGCAGTGCTGAGATGTGGATTTTTCTCTAGGATCACCTGTGGTGTCCATTATTTATTAAAGTAATTGAAATGGGAAAATCACAAGGCGGGGGGGGAAACCTGTATAAGCTGCTCGGGGAATATGAAAACCAGATGGTTAAAGATAACTAAGGAGGGAATTGTGGAATGTTATTTCTAGGAAACTGTGCGTAGATTTCTCTGGAAATTTTATTTGCTGATGTGTTTATTGAATAAAATACTAAAAAAAACTCTCCTTCACTCTGGGTTATACTTTGAAAGTAGATATTGCTGTGTTCTGAGCTCCCTTAGAGAATGGTTTTTTAATTTAATTTTTTAAATAATTCACTGTTACTTTTGGATATTATATAAAAGATACGTGGCAGAGCGCATTGCTGCCTAGTAAAGTTTTGTTTGTCCCACAATAAAGGATTATCTTGGGATAAGATGGTTGCTTGTTCTGAATAGTCCAGTTCATTTGTTGGTCACACTAAGAGCAGTGTAAGTGGTCTTCTGTTTCAAGACATCAGTACTTCACTTTTAATTTAGGAAGCACAGAAACCAAAAGTTATTTCACCTTGATATTTTAAGCAGAGAAGTGTTCTGATCCTGGACCATGGGAATGCTTGGATTTAAAAATATAATTTAATTCCTGAAATTGTACTTTATAGAAAGAAAATAATTTAGGATTCTTTTCTCCTGCAGCAGGTAGTGCAGTCGTTTCTACTCAGAGGTAAGTGTATATGAATTAAGCTGTTGACATATTAGTTCAGATTTTGACACAAGTTTTCAGAATGTTTTTAGAAATGTTTTATTTTCACCCTTCAGTGACCAAAGGGAATCTCAGAATGAAAGGAACAGGTGAGTTTTTAGCACATTATTTCCGAGTCAAGAGTGTATCCTGTCTAATCTCAAATGCAATGTGTATTCCATAAATTGATCACAAAAATGATACTGTGACTGATCTTTCTGTGAACACCTGGCACTGATTAAATTTCACCTGAACTGAAGCTCTCTCCTCTCCTACTTCTTTCACATTTTTTTCTTTGCTTTGCCTTAAAAAATGAAATCTTAAATTTTACAGTGTCTATGCTGACCACTAAGCTTAAAAACATAAGCACGATAAACCTAGTAGGATTTAGATGTCTTTTTATTGTGCTCCTGTTGATTTCTGAGCAGCCTGTGTTTCATCATGCAGTGAACATTAAATCAGCATTTCTGACACTCTGCTTGGTGTCTGATGCTGCCATGTGTCCCTGAAGGAACAGCCTCATTCAGGCAGTTTCCTTTCTCTTTTAGTGCTTGCTTTGCTTAGAGCTTGGCATTTCCAGCTTTTCTCACTGAAACCAAGGTAAAACAGTTTGAGAGGTGGCAAGCGTGTTTGGGCTGTTGTCTCTAGCTTTGGTGCTGTGCTTTCTCCAAGCCAGGTTTTGAAAGTTGGTGCCTGTAAATAGAGGCTGTGTTCTAGGCAGGAGCAAATTATGACATAAGATCTAAGAAGCAACTCTGCTCTTTAGCTACTTTTCCTGATTCCTTAAGATGGTCATCTTGTTTTTGGAATATTTCCTTGTCCATGTTTTGTACATACTTTTTGGTTTTTCATTTGCTTTCCTTAAGTTGTAAGAAACTTGAGCCCTGTGTTTGGTCCCAGCAAGAGGAGTATATTCTGTCATACGAACTCATGTTGAACAGTTGCTCTTCAGTATGGGTGGTGGTCTCTTTTTAGACATCTCCAAAACCTCAGTGAACATGGGTTTGAAGGTGCTCATGGTGAGTAGTTCTAGTTTTGAAATGTCATCTCACTTGATCAAAACACGGAACCTTTACAGAACTGGATAGAGGGCAAATAATGCTCATGGGACCAGCCAGAGTTTCCATCCTGGTAGGATACAGCTCTCCATTCAAGGTAGGTATAACTAACACACCTTTTTGTGAAGCCTTCCAGAAACTCTGTTCCATGTTAAAAAGCAGCATAAATAGTATGCTGGCAGTACTATGAAAGGAACATTCTTCAGGGTTGGGATGGGATGGTATTGAAGGTATGTATGTTGTAGCTGTCTGGAGTATGAAGTTCTCATCCACAGTGAGACTAAGTGAGGGGGTGTGTTTAGCTTCATCTCTCTAAAGAGAACTGTCAGTGTGTGAAACTTTCATCAGGAACTGTCATTTGTTTGGGTCCATTCTGGGACGGTATTATATGAGAACAAAATGCCCTTCAGCTTCACATTGTTTCTGTGTTATCTTTAGTCAAGACTTCTGGTCTAATTAGTCTGTGGTCAATCAGCCTGTTGTCAGGAAATAATCACAAGATGTCAAAATCTCTAATAAAAATTTATGTTAAGGGCATTTGACTGCCTTGGCCAATTAATTTATCGAGCTTTGATTCCTGTATCTTCTGTGGAGATTGACACCTCTTGTAATAGGTGTTTCTGAGGAAACAAGCCTCTTCCAGCAGCAATCCGCACCCATTTAGACTGATGTGTGTTAACTTTATAAGCTGCTGGGTCCAGCTCGGTATTTCAATATCCAGATAAAGGTTCCAATCTGAATAGATTTATGAACTGTCCCAGTGACCAGTGGGACAGCTGGCAATCTGTAAAGCTGAGCTTCCGCCTGAGACTTGGCAGGCCCAAGTGCTGAAAGGCCTTAGAAGGGGTGTAGCCAGTGATGCAGCACAGATGAAAACGAATAGCTTCAAAACACTTAAATGTCAGCCTGTTCCCTTCAATGCTCTCACCAGGTTAAGGCTCTGTTTGCAGGGAACTGCAAACTGTCCCAGTATAGTCCTTGGAAATAAGAACGTGTGATCTGATTTGAGCTGAAAATAATCCAGTCATTGTGAGGGAGAGGAAGTTGCTATGCTAAAGGAAACCGGTTGTCATCTGTGCGTAATATTTCTGCAGTGCCTCTTCTGATTTGGCTTTCAGGTTATAGAGCCAACTGCTACTGCTCCTAATGTGAGCAGGAACAGGCAAGCTCAGACCTAATATGGCAGTAGTGGGTTTTCCTTGGTGGTTTTCTGCTTTGTTTACTTCCAGGGAATTAAAAGTTTTCCTTTTAATATTTTATTTCAATAATTGGAGTGGAAGGTATTTTTCTTGATAAAGAAGGAATTGATTTAGATGAATAAATGGAGTCCTTCCTGCTTCCCCAGGGTGTTGGGAAGCTGGCAGGCATCTTCCTGCTCTCAGTGTGCAGTTGTTCAGCACATGAGAACATGCTGGGCAGATGACAGTGCAGCCCTGTTCTCTGAAGTCCCTGTTAGTGATGGGGCTGGAATGCCAGTGTCACATCAGAGATATTTTCGAAAAGCACTAGCACAATGCAACTCAGTCCTTGGCAGCAGGGGGGACTTTGAGCACAAGCATTGTCTTCTATGCTTTTACTTTCAGGTTTATTTATTTTTTTTTTAGTTTACCTTTTATATTTGCTCCAGTTGTTCTTTGCCAAGAGCAGGATGACAATCATGACCCAAATAATAACCTTTTTCTTGAGCTACTACAGGGAGTTCAGACCAGAGGGAGAGAGGAGCCATGTCTCTTAAAGGTTTTAAAATTCACAAACAGGACATTTTTGGTGAATGCTGCTTTCTTACTTATGAAAAAAGTCTTACATAATCTTCGTTCATACCCCCTGACCTTCCCTGCCTAACTCTGGAGGGGATTTAGAGAGGGGCTTCAAGTGGGATATCCTCCCTGCCTCCTTCCCTGATGCCTCTCCATAAACCTGTCCTGCTTTATGGGAGAGGTCCCACAGATTGCCTTGAGGGTGGGAATCCACGCAGGAAGAAATGGATGTTGATATTTAATGCTTCCATTTCATTGGGAATAAACCTTTCCTTCCCCTTGGACTGGAGAGTAATGAACTGCACCTGCATGAAAGGCCACTGTTCTCAAAGAGCAGTGGTGTTATGCTGGGCTGGTCTCCTGGGATGCGTCTAACGACAAGTTGAGGGTGGGTTTGATGAAGAAACTCAGTGACATGGGACTGTAAATCATCAGGTACTTACACCTAGAACAAATATCAGAGAAATGTGGCAGCCTGGGGATGCTCATGATTGCTTCCCTCCAGAGTATTTCAAAGGGTAGGCTTTAAATCTGATGGCATTTCCTGCATGGAAGTATAATGGCTGATTAGCTAAATGTAGGACTTTATCCTAATCCCTCTGCCTGCTTCCATGACAAAAAGGTTCTAGTGAGTTTATGCTTCACAAATACAAGTCTTGCAAGCAATTTATCTTTTTCTTGTAGCTCTTCATGGTTTAGTGCAGCTGCTATTTGTATTCCAATTAATTACTGGCACAAGTGATAGAGTTGAGGTGCAATTAGGACCAGCCTATAATTGTGTTTGAAAGGGCTATGGATGCTTTTACAGATGGTTTCCCTGCTAGATGAGATTGGCCAGTCTCTCCAGCTGCTTTCAGCTTTCCATGTTATTTCTCCCTAAGTGTTAGTGCAGTGACTTAAATCTTTCATTGGGGAGTGTTCTTGCTTTCTGCCTCTAAGAGTACATTAGCTTCTAAAGGGAAAAACATCCATTTAAACCTGCAACAGTTAGAGAGGCAGTAAATAGTAAGACATAACTTTGTACTAGGCATCTACTGTCAGGATTGATTAAGAAAACACAAACTAAAACACTTAAATTTGTTGGAGAGCAGGTGATTCTGTGCCCTCTCAGCATGTCAGTGTCATTCTTGGCTCTTTTGTTACAAGATAATTGTGTGTTTAAACAATTGTGTGATCCTTGGGAGCCAAGCCCAGGCCTTGGAGATGTGCCTGGGTTGGCCAGGTTTTCCCCTCCTACGGGTTTATGAAACATGGAGGGAGAGGAAAACCACTCCAACTCTGTAATGGAAAAAGGCTGGATTCATTAGGAACTCCTCTGAGCTCATCCCCCAGGACCTCATTACCCTCCCAAACCCTATTTGCAGCTCTCCCCTAAAAGCAGCACAAAGCCAGTGTGGTGGCCTGCAGCTCCCTGCCCACAGTCAGCCTGGCTATGTGCCCCTGACATAGCAGAGCTGGGGAAGTGGAGGTTTCATAGCCATCCCACATGCAGGAATGTGGCAGCTCCTGGCCTTAAAGGGCTGCCCGGGGTCCTGCAGCCTGGTGGGGTAATTGCTGGCCATGTTCAGGTGCTGCTCCTGAAGCTTGCCAGCATGTTTTGACTGGTTGAGACCCCCATGCAGAGCCCTGCAGGGGTTGAGCAGCCTCAGGAGGCAGGAACAGTGGTGCTAAGGGCAGCTTCAGGTCTTGACCCTGGCTGCAGAGGGGCAGAGATGTGTTT